GTTACGTGTCACACAAGCAATGAAGCTATCCATCTTTTAAGGAACAAGTTTCTTTGAAAAAAAAAAACACCTCTTATTGGAACATCCGTTATAAGTTGACATGAAAATTCTTTCTAAATATATTATAATAATATAAAGGAAATTATAATAATGAAAATTTTTTTTGGAGATTAATTAAATTTTTCATATTTTTATTAACAAAAAAACGAGAAAATTTAATTTCAAATTTATACTAAAGAAAACAAAATCCAAAACTGATATTTTAAAGAGAATTTATTGGTCAATTATATGTTATATATATTATTATTATATATTCATTCCAAATAATGTCACAACTGTTTTTTTTTATTGTTGTTAAATTTTGAAGTTGCAAAAGTCATTTTTGGTGCCGCAACTTTTCCAAAAACGCCTTCCATTTTATCCATTGACACATGTCTATTGGCAAATTAGTCAACAACAACACAATCTTTATGATCATGAAGCAATAACAAACGAATTTTCGCCAGCAATCGATGTAAAGGCTTTACAGTTGGGGTGGTTGCTGTATATGCTTCGCGTAAAAATTTAATGCCCCAATGCATTGAATATTTGAGATAGAAAACACTTAACTCAAACAAAAATACTGATACATACAAACATATATAAATTAGTCAAACATTCAACGCAAAAGAAACACAAATCGCATATTTTGAATTTTATAATTAACTTACCTTTATGAATCGGCGAGCTCTGCAATTCACATAATATTCATAGCCAACTAAAAATTTTATTTTTTCATTAATTTTTAAATGCACCAAAAATTGTTGTCTTTCAAAATTTGCTTAATTAAAAAAAAAAACGACTTTTGAAAATTTTGAGTTGAGTCGGTTTAGTTGTGAGTCTACGTTTGCCATCTGCACGTTTGTAAACACATGTTGCATGCCACTAACAGCAACCACTTAACGCTGCTCGGCAGCCATGGTCATGGTCGCTTTGCTGTTGTTACTGTTATTGTTGCGGCTAAACAACATTTCTCAAAAGAAAGCTGCTTGCAACAGTTGCTGTTTTTTATGCCTTACTTGCTTAGGCAGCTAGATGAATGCTTGACTTGGCTTGGCTTATTTTTGTTTTGCTTGGCTTGGCATGGCTTGGCTTGGCTTGGCTTGTCCAGCTAGCCGATTGGCGATTAGTGGTGCTTACATACATATATAGCTATGCAGTGAAATTGCAACATTGCAACCACATTAGCTGTATTAGCCACAATACCATAAATGGCTGTGTTGGGCACACATATACGCATATATCTATGTATGCTTTATTATACTTATCTCCTCCAGTTAGGCATACTAATACGGTGTGTAACATACGGGTATGTATGTACGTGTATGTAGCGTGCGCTACCACTTACTTAAATATGCCGCTATCCAACTGCGCGAGTACAACTTATCAGTTAGTCAATATGTCAGCCAGTCTGTCAGTGAGTAAACTGGTGAGTTGTGCGCTTGTCAAATGTGTAATGTGTACAATGATTACCGTTATGGTTGTTTTCCTTTCAGTTGTTTGCTTGCATTTATTGATTTTCTATATGTTATGTATATACGTACGTATGTACGTATGAATGTATGTAAGCATTTAAGTATTTATTGTTATAAACATCTGCACACATACATACATGCATATGCCAATAAATTGTAAATTCAATTATTGTTAAAATATCAGCAACACCTTGCCATACATCACCCAGCTCGCCAGCATGCACTGCTGCTGCTTTTGCTCTCTGCTACTGTCGACAGGAATTTTGATTGTGGCTTTGCGTGTCGTTCTATAATTCACGAATCCTTTCAATTTTTATTCAACTTGTTTTTCTGTGCTTCGTTATTGATTGTTATTGTTATTGTTTTAACTGTTTAAGTTGTTATTCTTAGTTTGATGGTCACTTTCATGCATTTCCTCGGCGGTAGTTAGCCCAGTTTCCATTCAAAGATTCCACCACTAAGTCTTCTTTGGTATAATTAGTGGCGTATTTGTGTAGTTTATGGCAGCTCTATTTGTGGGAAGATAGATTGCTATGTAGCAAAGCGAAGAAGAATACATTGAGTTAATAGTTCTTTTACATTTAATATTTTCTATTCTTGTAGCCGTTGGCTTTATGAAATAGACAGCATTCCTACCAATGCCGATCGATTCCTTAAAAGAGGCCATCTTTGATCAACAGAGGCCAAATTGTATTCCATCAGCACAACGCCAGGCCACACACGTCTTTGGTGACGCGCCAGAAGCTCCAGAAGCTCGGATGGGAGGTCCGGATGCACCCACCTTATAGTCCGGACCTGGCACCAAGAGATGAAAATCCTTTTCTGTCCATGAGGAATGGTGAGAAGTTGACCTCAAGAGAGACCTGTGAAAATTAGCTCTCCGAGTTTTTTGCCAATAGGGATGCAGACTTCTACGAGAGGGGTATCATAAAGTTGGCATCTCGTTGGCAATAAGTTTACGAACAAAACGGCGCATATTTTTCGGAGAGGTGTCCCCAAAGTTATCACATTTTGAAAAATCAATCAAAAAACCGAACGTACTGTATTATTTGTTTCATTCTAAAGGTAATTAGCTCAATCAGGTTTAAAAAAAAGCTCAATGAAATAAATAAAGCATTTATCTTCAGTCAAAAATATAAAAATTGTTCTAAATTATAAAAATGTCCGCTTGTGTCCGTCCAGGATATTAATATAGCCGTAGCTCAGAGTATACCCGAACAACCATCAATGAGCTAAAGATCGTTTGGCAGTAGTGGAGCATATTCTACTGAAAAATCATATTTCCCGGTGAAGCTAATGAACGAAAACTGCTGCACTCAGGGCTCAGAGAGCCTACCTGTAACCTTGCGCAAAGTAACTGCTGTTAGTATGCCCTGTTCACATATTATTGATTTCAAATGTTGAAGAGATTGACATGGCCGCAGTATGATTTCAACAGCATTGCCACACATAGTCAATGTTACAAATGATCTTTGGAGACCGTGCTCTAGTTGTTAACGATTTTAAGACCAAAAACTCGTTCAATACCATCGATCAACAGCCTTATTCACCGGATTCGGCCTCATGCGACTTCTTTTTTTGTTTCCAAAACTCAAGTTACCACTCCGTGGAATCCTTTTCGACTCGATTGAGGCCGTAAAAGAAAACCCTCAGAGAGAACTGAGGTCGACTGGCTTCAATAGCTGCTGCAAACTAACTAGATGACAGATCGCGCTCATATTTGGCAAAGTAATTAAGGGCATATACATACGAGTATATGCTCACTTTTTTTTGTATAGGAATATTGGGTCCTTGTATATTTTTGAGAAATATTATTCTATTATATGCCATTCTATTAATAAATTGGTAGCATCGTATTCTAAAAAATTTTCTGGTGAGTTCGTACTGGCTTTCTTCAGTTTCTCAATGAAAAATTGTTTACAATGAGTACATAATTTCTTTTTATTTATTTATTAACTTAATGGTAAAGAGTATGCGCCGTGCACTTGCATGTATCAATCTAAATATGAATTATTCATTTAATTCTATAAACAAATGAATTGACTGTGAAAATAAAATATGAATTGCTCAATGAAAGTACAAAATAAAAATTGCTACAAAATTTTCTCACCTCGGGAAAGTATTGCACTCTCTGTCGTTGAAATCTCCATTGTATCAAAAAAAAAAAAAAAAAAAAAATGGCATACCTACATACATAGATATGTACGCGTAATATATGCATCACTGTCGACCTGTGGTAATAAAGTGAAAATTGTTAGTAAAATTTCAATGCTTATATGAATAAAACAATTTTATTTGTACATACATATGCGGGTATATTATGTATACTCATATTTATAAATATATATTTGTATGTGCGTACATAATATGTTATCCAGCAATAATGCTCAACCGCAGGCAACAACATTAAAGAAAGATTTTCAATTTTCACTGTGGAAATCAACTTTGGGAATTGGGTTTCCTGTATACGAGTATGTGTTATGTACGCATGTGCGCACGTCCGTTAGAGACAGTAGATGAGCTTGAGCAGGTATCTTGATGTTTAATCTTTGCATGAATATGTACACATGTGTATGTGACACAATTGTTTGTTTGTGTTGTTGTGTTGCATGTGAGCAGGTGTTGGGAAGAGTCGTTTACAGCCTAACTTGGTCAACAACAACAGCAATGGTTATAGAACAACAGCAACTAATTGCAAATATATATATATATATATATATATATATTTATATATATATGTATGCTTTAATGTATGCAGGTGTAACTAGACAACTCGAAATCTTAATAGATAGAACAATAATAGAACAAAACCACATATATATATATATAACCACAAAACCACATATATATATATATATATATATATATATGTATGCAGTTAATTCCATATATTGTACATATGTACACCTATTGTATGTATATACATATAGAAATAAAATGAAAAGTCTACAGATTTATTTGTGGCAAGCAAGGCGTGCTGCATAAAATAAAGAAATAAAAATGAAAAAAAAATCAACAACAACAACAACAACAACAACAACATAGACTATGTCATTGGCAATGGCTTGTGGCAGTAGGTTGTTGCAGCATGTGATTCCTGCCACTTGACAAACAAGTTGTATTTGTTGCTCTTTTGAAAATATTAGACTTTCGCTGTTGTTCTTGTTGTTCTTTTTTTCCAACCATCAGCTTTTGTTCGTTTTAGCATAATGCTCATCCATCTAAAACAAACTGGGATCTTCTACAACAAAGCGACGAGTCTGGTTTTCCAACCAACAACAACAGCCACCACCACAACCGGCCTGATCCCACTTAGCCTAGCCGATCTGTTGGCTGTAGCAACGTAGTGCAACCAGCCAAGTTGCCTGCCTCGAAGCCGTCTCACGGATAGTCAGTCGCTTGCCACGGCCGCTGTTCGTTAGTAGTTCATATAAAATCTTAATCACAGGCATGAAATTCGCATTAGGTATTTTGATATCACGACGATGTCATCGAATTCTCGTCGCCTCTTCTGTGCAGTGTCAAGTGAGATTTGGAAGAAGTAGTGGAGTGAAATTTCCCAAAATATAGTCGCAAAACTACATCGAGTGCCAAAAGGATCAAAATTGTTCAATTGCACTTAAGTGAAAGGATAACGGTGAAAGTGTCCTTTGTGCGTGTAGGTGTGCGCAACTCGTGTAACTAAGTTAATGAAACCTTTCGTTAATTATGCTGCAAGGCACACGCTTATAGTTATCCTGTCGAATTAAATACATATGTAGCGAATTTAAGTGCAACATTGCGGCTTAATTGAATGTGTATGTGGTTGTTGCCTTTAGTAAGCAAAGTAACGAAGAGAGGGCTGCTGCGAAATTAAACTCAAGGAAAGTGAATAGTGCTAAAGGATATAAGAAAAAAATCAATTGGTTCTCGTAGACTACCGCAAATCTAATAAATTACGAAAATTGCTTCAAAATGAAACCGTTAATCGCATTTTGTGTCCTAACACTTGTAACGGTCATTTCGGTTCAAGCAACACCCGCCATCAGCTCCAGTGAAAATGCGGTAAATATGAATTTTTTTTATGAAATTAGGTAGGTCTAAAGTTAAGTATAGATAAGATTAGGTAAATTAGCGATGGGTTGGGAAAAATGGCCTTTGCTGATATATTGAAGGCTGTAAAAAAATAACAAAATTTTTGCATTTTTTAAACCATCTTACTCGACGTATTAGGTGTGTGCATTCATTCGTGCGGTTTTCTAAGAGAGGGCTGTACTAGTATGATTTCGCGTCGTGTTCATCTGTGGCTATATTCATTTCAAAGGTACTGTCATTTCACGTCGTTTTCAGTAGATATCATTAGTTTTTTTTTGCGCGAACAACACTTTGTTTCATTAATTTGAAAATGTCGAAATTCGTACCAGATAAGGTGTTTCGGCGGGGAGTTCTTCTTCATTACTTTAAGATGAAGAAAAGTGCTACCGAAAGCCATCGTATTTTACTGAAAGTTTATGGTGGCCCTAGCCGAGCGCACGTGCCAACAGTGGTTATCACGGTTTAAAAGTGGCAATTTCGACTTAGACGACGGACAGCCAAAAAAATTTCAAGACGATGAATTGGAGACATTGCTCGACGCAGATGCATGAGAGACGCAAGAAAAACTTGCCAAAGTATTAGGAGTTGATCAAGCAACCGTTTCCAGACGATTAATATAATTTTTTTTTGCAATAAAATCTTAAAAATCTTGTTGTCCTTCGAAAATAAAATTTTTAATTAAAAAAAGCTGTCTAGCTTGGGAATTTTGAGTTTTTTTAATTTTTAATTTGGTTTTTGTTTACTAATTCATCAGTACGTAACCAAGAAAAATGTGAAAACATGTGCAAGTACTAAATTATATTTAAATAGATGCACATAGTGAATATCATGAGACAATATATTAAAGGTAGTTTCATTCTCTCTTCACAGTCGGCTACATATCTATCTGGCATTAAACGTGTTTCGGTTTTTGGGCTACCTTCTTGTATTAAAAAGAATCTACCATTATTAAATAAAAATTATAATAAAAATTTTCATATTTTTTAAATGTTCAAATATTCAAAAATCTCGTATTTTCCAACTTCTGATAGTAGACTTCTTCGAGTCTACGCCTTTCATGATTTTTGTATTACAACTTTTATAAAATGTGGACAAGTATCAGAAAGGAGAGAGATACACCCCCCCAAAATTTTAAATCGAATTCAAGAAGATGAGGGGCTATGTCTAAATACAAATTAGGCTCACAGTTTTAGAGTTGTTTCAAAGAAATTTTGTAAGCAAACAAGGCATCGTTATAATAATTGTTGGTTTTTTAGAGCAATGCCAAGTCATTAGAAATATAAATCTTATATTTATTTCCGCTTGAAGTCGATTAATCTTCCCCATGCCTTTGAATTCAAACTAACTCCCAAATATTATCATGGGTCAGTTAGTTATTTAAACAGCTTGTTCGTTCTCGCAACCTTGATCTCTTGATGATACCTATATTGGTTCTATGAAAGAGGCTCCTCTCACCTTTCTAGATGCTCAAACCAGTTAGAATAGTTTACGAAGTTCAGCAGATTAATGATGCTAAGGCACGCAGAAAAAATTTCGGAGAAATTGATAATGTACCGCAAAGTTTACCGGGTTAATGACTATCCCTAACCGGTTAGCTCATCGACGCCACAGTTTTCTGGGGTGTCCCTATCACCAGGTAGCTACACCATATACGTGTCCTATATAGTCTAGAAAACCTTTAGGGTAAGTTTCGAAAAAAGTAAAATTTGTCAACGGTTGCCCATTTTATTTATAATAAAAAGCATATTTTCTTACTTCTTCTTCCAAAGAATAATGTCTTGAAACAAATATTTTAACAGATCCATACGAGTATTCAACATCTGCTTGGAAAATAACACCAAAAATAACTAAAAATTTTACAAGTTGATAATTTTTTTAAGTGGCAAAATCAAACATTTCGGAGCAAACACGTTGAGTGTCAAAAATTTCGAAGTGAACCTACCTTATAGAATTTTTGTATCATAGTGAATACATCATTCCAATTTGAAGCTCTCTCAATGGGTTTCAGTGACTTGTCTTGTATGGAAATTTTAAAACCGAAAATAAAAAAAAAAATTACAAGTAACTCCAAATCAAAAAGTTCTATAACTCAACCGTCCAAGAGTAAACGCTGGTTTGAATGGGGTTTGTGCAACTTTGAACCGTTGAAGCGATTTTCGACCGAGCTACTCGTGTAATATGTCGTTTTGGGTCTTGATGTTTTTCCAACAAATGGGGGAACCTACAGTTTATACTAAGCCGCCTCCGTACGGCTGATGGATTTTCTTATGAGGAGCTTTAATTTCATGCCAGAACTACACTCGAAGGGGTTGACATTTCGAGAAGTGGCCACAGTTAGAAAAATTAATTTAATTTATTATTTAAATTAATTTTGAATAACTTTTCGGATGTTAGTATGATACCAGGATTTGAGCCCGATGTAATTTTGATATTAAATCGAAAATGGCGACAAAATAATGGAAACCGTCGAGTCTGACCAACTTGAGGGCACAGTTTCAATTACCCAGAAGCTAAGCATTGCAAAAAAAGCACTTTAGAACCATCTAAAAAATTTTGGATACACAAAGAATCTGAATGTATGGATGCCACTGGAGTTAACGCTACTGAATCGCAACAAAATCGACCCGTATCTGAAGTGGATTGTGACTGGTGATGAAAAACGGGTAACTTACGACAACATCGAGCGGACGGTGGACAAGACGGTGGTGACGAGCTAGAAGCTCCAGGAGTTCGGATGGGAGATCCTAATGTACACACCTTATAGTACGGACCTGGCACCAAGTGATTACCGTCTTTTCCTGTCCATGGCGAACGAGCTTAATGGTGAGAAGTTGGCCACAAGAGAGGCCTGTGAAAATTGGCTCTCCGAGTTTTTTTGCCCATTAACCGAAACTACCATTTGTTCGTGTCGGTTCCGATTGGTTTGGCTGATAAAGAATGTTCCACAAGAGAAGCTTTTGAAAATCGATTGTTCCTGTTTTTCGCCAATAGGGACAAGAAGCATCATATTAATTCCAAAATTTTGACATGAATCGGTTGATTCTAACTCCTGTGAGCAATGGAAAAAAATTAGGCTAAGATTGCTTATAGCTGATAGTTGATGGTCGAGCTGAGTTCAAAGCTGATCGAAATTCAAAAAAACGAAATAAATGAAATAAATTTTAATATCTATATGAAGATCTAAAAAAGGGCAGCCAAACATGGATATGCCCGAATGAAAATTGAAACTGTCAATTACATAGTTAAAAGGATTCAAACGGTTTAATAAAAAATTGGAGAAATTTCATAGAGATACAGCTATACAGGCGAAAGGAGATCATAATATGTAAATGCCCATGTGAAATTCTGAATGTAAAATTGAGAATAGTAGGGAAACATATTGAGCCCAAAGCAGCACTGGCGTAAATCATTGTAAGAAGTTTTTACGTTTTTCACAACAGGATAATTGATTGGCAGAGTATCGAAAAAAACTCATTTTTGAACATTCATATTCTTTTTTACGCATTTCCACATATTTGCTACAATAATTTAGTTATATTGTTTTCGTGGTCACAAAGAGCAGCGAAGAGCGAAACAATATTCACTAATTAGTGCATATATATCCATCTCCTGAACTTACTCAATTCAATTCGCTCATATTGCAGCTGAGAGAGTGCCCCCCATTTTACATCCTAATGTTGGCTGCAGTGTCAGTTCGAGAAATATTAATTAGCGGAATGTGTAAAATGCAACAGCACCGCAATTTAAATTAAAAAGAAAAAATCTCTTGTTTTAATTTCAGCAGAAATTTGGAAAGCATTAGGAAATATTAAAGAGATTATATTAGTTTTAATTTTAAAAATTAAAAGAATTAGGTTTTCGATTGTTTCACAATAAAATATTAGAGAAAAATCTCATTTAAAGGTTTATTTCCTGTTCGTAATAAAATACCTAAAAACACCCCAAAATCTCCAAAAAAATATTTTTTCATCACTGACGCACTGTTCTGAAATGTTATAGAAAACTAGAATTTTTGAGCGCCCTCACGCAATGTAGTATATAGCGATGGAGCGCTAAACACGAATACGAAAAAGTCCTTTTCTCATCGTTCAGATTTAATCTCGGCATCGCTCCTCTATATCAGCGAGAGTAGAAAACTTAAAATAACTATTATTATAGATTCTCTGCGCATAGAGTATTATTTGCATTAATTATCTTTACACTCCGCTTGGCTCGGCTCTGATATCAACATGCACCCACGCTTAAGTCAAGGCTAAAGTCAAAATCTTTCCCTCTCAGTGCATATACCTGCCGGACATTAAAAAAAATGGATAGAATTTTTATTTTCATTTTTTTTTTTTGAAAATCAATTATCCTTCGCAAAGTTTTCGGGTAGTTTTTTTTTATTTCCTAAAAGTGTATTTTTTTAGGTTTATCGGCGGAAAACTTGGCCTTTCGATAGAGACTGCAACATATGTTAGTCAGATAAAGCAAGGTTCGGGCTCTTCAGGTCTGGTCATCAAAAATGTACGCATGTCGTTTAGCGTTGTCTTCATGAAATATAACACTCTTTTGTTTACGATTTTTTTTAAGATCTTATTGTTAACTGATAATTATTGATAGTGGAGCTCAAAATTGACCATTCCGCCAGGTTGTAGCAGTTCGTAATGAACAATATTCAACCGATCTCAGCATACACTCAGCATCACCTTGCTTCAGACTCAGAAGTCAGGTAGCCATTCTATGACCATATTTTTCTATATTTTTTTGTTTAGCCCATTTTCCATCGACCATGATGAACCGCTTCTTAATTTTTTTTTTAATTTTTTTGTGTTTTGACACCAAAACATTGAGCTGTTTGGAGTGGCTAATCTTTTAGAAACATGAGCGAACTATTTATAATGCCTCCGCTATCTGCTGGCAGCCTGCGTGCAGCTCTTGCTCCATTGTTTGCAGAATTTCAGCGGCTTCTTGACTGGTGCATATTTGACATCAAAATTTCCGGAAGGGAATCGATCGACCGCTTCCGGCATTCTTTTACACAATTCTCACCATAAACTACACAAGTCTTCCGGCACGTTTTTGCAGTGCTTTTACTACTTGTGATAATAAATATGCATCACATAATGAATTCCTAAAGAATACCACTCAGTTTAAAACTAAAATTAGGCCTGACGATTGAAAAGCTGTCTTCCCGAAAAACATTACATGAAAAGTCAACATCAAACAGGGGCTTAGTTCACAAAATTGAACTAGTGTCGCCTGAAATAACAACCTTCAAAACCATCTAGGAGCAAGTGCCGTAGAGACTTTTTATTATCAACATAACTAAATTTAGCTCGCAATTTGTTCCATCGAACAACAATAATTTATTGTTGTACTTTTGTCAGTTTCCTCCTGGCTTAAGTCAAAGGAGTCTCAAGGAAGTTTTAATGTCGCCATTAATATTACAGATGAAGATACACAAATAAATTACATCGTTTTCTGTATACTTTTGTATTATATAATATACCTAAGGTAACTGAAATATATATACATACTCGTATGTGTATTTAAGTTAGAATTTTATTTACATATACATATATCCCGGCACTGAGTTTGCCAATCCTTTTCTTACATACATATCCATGCGAATGTTTACGTGCTTTGTAGAAACTTATCAGAAGCTCTTAACTTTTCATTTGTTGTTATTCGACTTTTGATTGAGCTTTCTTTCTAGATTCCTATTGTGAATCGCAATCAACTGGAAGAGGGTTTCCTGCGAAAACTCAACATAAAGTGCAGTCAAAGGGATAATCATTCGTGTATGATGCTCAAGCTGATTGTATACATGAATCGAATATTCAAAAAGTCTTCAATCGATCTAAATGAAAATCTAAAAGTTACGCAAAATAGGTAAGTAATGAATTGAATTCACCGGAAGTTGAGTGAGAGCAAAGAAATTTTGATGAATTTATTATAATATTTTGTAAGCTTTTGGTTAGAGTTTAATCGATGAGAAACCATAAATCGTTAAACTGCTTAGAAAGTAATAACAACAAAAGTAAATAAGCAACAAATATAAATGCCAATGCCAATGCCAATGCATTCTATTTATCTTACATTTGAACTTTTATAGAGATATCGACTCCATACCGGATGATCCGGACGATGATTTAATGCTGGCGCGTTCCATTGAATCGGATGATGAGACGCTCGGCCTACTTGTGGCTGGGAAAATTTGGAAATTTATACGTTCACGTACGCTGCGCTATAAATTCTCCGACAATGCAGACTTTGTGCTCACCACCGAACCGAAAGGTAACTTAAACTTTGGCGTCTCCGTCAGTCCAGTGGATGCGCTGGAGGAGGGACGAGGCAAAATGAAAAATATGGGACCGATGTTGATGGTAATGATGGCCAAAGCTGGTATGGTGGGCGCCATAATGCTTAAGGGTTTATTTTTGCTGGCAGGCAAAGCGTTAATTGTCTCCAAGATTGCACTGCTGCTGTCGGTGATAATCGCTTTAAAGAAGTTACTCTCACAAAAGAAGCACATTGTTGAGATACCACACCACGATACATACAGTTCGGGTTGGTCGCGTGCTTTGAATGGTTTCATCGAAGGCATGGCTGAGGTGCCGGCACAAATTATCGCACAGGAAGCGCAAGATATGGCGTATAGCGGACAAATGCCAGCGGAGGAGCTGCACTGAGCGATGTTGCTCAACGGTATAGTCAAATGTTAATATAACGAGTATGTATTAGAAATTATTGTTTGTGTATAGAAATACGTATGAGAAAAGAAAATTCGATGCAAGCGAAAGAGTTTGAAGAAATGATGAAAAAATTAAATGAAAATGAAAATAAAAAAATAATTAAAAACAATTTCGTTTACGAATAGCAAGTGCAGAAAAACTGCAATAAAATGTAAAAACCCAAAGCCAACAAAGCCAGCTGAGACACTTCAGAGGGGCTCTGTATTATTTATATACAAATATTAATTTATCTATTTATTTAGACAAATATTTATTTATTTAGTTTTTTTTACAAACACATATACGTACTAATTGTTGCCAATACCATTGAATATTTCGAATATTTCTGTCAAATCCTTGGAGTACAAAAGTATAATAAATTTTCCTGACAAATTTTTTTATTAAAAAATATGTTACAAAATAAAAATTTCTTAGTTGGAAGTATTTATGTAGCCATGGAAATATAATATCAAGCTAATTATTATTATTATTGTTAATTTTTTTTGTTGAAAATAGAGTAATTAGCTTCTCAACTGAACACTCGACTTTCTCTACTTCACTGCAAGCTTCATTCTCTAACTCTTCATACTAACTTGTTATAAAAAGCAGTAACTATAAACATAAGTAAAAACAAAAAAATTAAAATAAAAAATATATAATGAAATTTTGTATTTATTTATTATTTATTATATTGTACAACTGTTTATAGCGAATAAATAAATAAAAAATCTAAACGAGCTTTTTGAGCTTTGAACATTGCTCACTTGTCTTTAATTCAAATTAATATTTATAATAAATATAATTCTAAATTGAGTTTTGAAATTATTAACACATATTGGTAAGTTTTTATTATATAGAGTTAAAACTATATTTTTTTCTAAATGTATTTATATATTTTTAATTTAATTAACAGCAGTTTAATTTTAATTTTATTTTTACTTTTTAAACTTAAATGGTTTAGAAATTTTTTTTCAGTTTTTATATTTCATTTTATTTTTTTTTTTTTTGCATTTTTATAGCATTTTTTGCTCTTGCGAAATTTATTTAATTATTATTTGCTAACTTTAACAACTTAAAATTATTCAACAAATGTGTGTGTTAGAGCTTTCTATATTAGCATTTAGCTTAAATCGTATATTTTTTGAACTACTGAAAATAGCATTTTTTTTATATAATTTTTAAGTCATTTTAATATGATTGCAATTAAAAGGAAAATAACAAATAATTCTTTTACATTAAAAGAATGTTTAAAAAACTACAAATACAACTTGTAATTACATTGAGAAAAAATTATTCAGCAAAAAAAGCTTTTACGATCAATTGGCTTTAAGTATGTATGCATTCCGCGTCCATGGTTAAGCTCGATAGTACGGGTGATGCGGTTGCATGTAATTGTAAACTAGAGGCCGCCTAACGCCCACTCCTGCGGATGCTGCAAAATCATTAAAAAAAAAAAGAAGGAATAGAGAGCTTATTGCAAAAAAAAACTGTTATATTCAAATTTCTAATAAAATATTTTCTATGAATTTTAAGAAAAACTATATTATTATAATTATTTATTATTTTGTATGAAAATTTTTATATTGGGAATTTTTTTAAGTTTGACCGGTATACAAGTTAATGAAATTTATAAAAACTGACGATTTCTGGATATGCTTGAAAGATTCCCGGCCCACCAACAATGGCATATTTTAGGTTTCTGAGGCACTTATAAATATTTCGTTTATTTATATCGCTGCGTTTATATATATGCTCCTCCAATTTGTATCGTTCTTAATATTGTGAAAGAATCTAAGGTTTATTCTCAGACGAAACCGAAAAGCTAATGGATTTTTATGAGAAGATTTTATTCTATGTCAGAAACACACTCGGAGCGCTGACATTCCGTGCCGAGGGAAATATAATTTTTTCATAATTTTGGAAATTGGTCGAACCAGAACACGAACGCTGATCTTCAGAATGGCCATTTGTGCCACACTAGGGCGTTCAAAGCACGTATAGTAGACCAAAACTTAGATTTACTATTCAATGTGAGCGTAATATGTTTAGATGAAAGCAAGTCCGACGATTGGAAAGTAAGTGTGCTCTGCTTAATCCATAAAAAGGCAATCTAAACTTAATCCTTCTTATTCATTTAAATATCGTAAATGAAGTCTAATCTAACTCAGATTTTTTTGTTTGAATATGAAAGCACACATTTTTTGAATTCATCGGAGTTCAGCAGTAAGTTTTCAGACTATTGAGAGAGAAAGGAATGAAGCTGGCAAAATACACGACCGCTGCTGACCAAAACCAAAAGCTGCGACAGAATTGCTTAAGACCTCCCCAAGCCTTTCGCTTGCAAGCGTGGTTTCAGAAAGGTAGCTTCTTTAAGAAAATGATGCCAACTCCAACGCTAATCAGCCAAAAGATTGCAGGCGATGCCATTGATATCTGTAGATATAATTGCACCGTTGTTTGTGTTTTCTCCAAATTCGATAAGAAAACGAAACGAGTGGATTTCGTAGTAAATGAGGGAAATACGAAATATCTTTTACCAAAAAACATACAGGCGTCACTGTAGACAGTCATAACTTTGAAGTTGTTCACAACTTCACGGCTATCATCAGGACCACCTACACTGTCAGCCTTGAAATCTAAAGCAGAATCATGATTGGTAGTACTGAGTTCGCAATTGATAAGTATAATCCGCTATCGGTAAATAGAAGTCAAGTTAAACAGCAAAGGTTAGGATATAACGATTTTGGAGAAGATTTCTCATTCTATCGCATTAGCGATGGCGTATACCAAAGATGGCAGCAAGAGCTGTTCGCAACTATATTAAAGTACTTCAGGTGCAGGAAGTAGAAGAACAGAAATATCTTCGTTCGGAAGATCAGGTAGAGAAGGATCGGGCTTCACTTTTTATTTCCAAGTGGCACCAGATAGCGAAAATGTGAAACCCCTGGAGTGCTATTATTTACTCGGCTTTAATCTAAGTAGCAATGCTTGCGTCTATTATGAAGAAGGAGATGATTCTTGACAACTTCATAAATAAATTTTTTACTCTCTTTTGTTTTTACTCTGCCTTGTTTCGGTTTATTAATTTCTTTATTGCCCGGTATTGAGTTTGCTTAAAAGAAAAGGTGGTGAATTGGGAGAAAAAAGTCTAAAAAGCCTTACTTCACCGGTCTCAAGTAGCCGATTAATCTTTGCCATCAGCAACGAACAATCTTTTATATATAAACTTCTCGTGTCATAGTATTAGTAACAGTACTCCAGCGAATCGGCTTGACCGATTTTCATAAAATTTTAGATGCTCATTCAGAAGGTTTGAGACTCGGCTATTATCTGATTACCACACCAGGAAGTAGATCAAAGACTGATCTATTCGAAAAAATCCTATAAATAGGATTTATCTGAAATTTGCGTAGATGGCTCTTTGCGAAAAATAATTTTTTTATTTTAAAGACTCGAACAGTGACCATCTGAATGTTAGTACAGAATACTAACCACACGACTACTGCGGAAGCCAATAAAAAAGTTAAAATTTTGTTTGTGTTTAAATTTCGAATTGAGTTTGCAAAATAAGTGTTATGATATTAGAGCATTGAACAAAAAAAAAGATATATAAAATAAATAATAAATTAGTGCAGATTTATGCGTTTTTTTCTAATTCAGACATTTATTACTACTCCGCATATTTATAATCGCATCGCATCTCTCTTAACTACACAAATATTCACACGAGAGCATTCATATTTAATCATTTTATAAGCGTACATGCATACAAACGAGCAAGTGCACACCTCTGTCTGGATAACTGTCTGACAGACTAAGCAGAATGCCTTTTCTTTCTTCTCAATTTCATGCCCAAATATTCGAATGTATCTTTTATACTCTCCTCCTCTTCGAATATATCATCTTCGCCCGATTCCTGCCCCTCGTGCTCTTCCTCCTCCTCGGTGGCTGCCACTGCCGCAGCCAAGGCAACCTTTGCAGCGATTGCTTCGTCATTTCGTCGTCGGCGCAAGTCACTTTTATAGCGCATCAAAAATTCATTAAAATCATTTCGCTTAAACGGTTGCCTGCGTATTGTACGCCTAAATGGACTATTAACGAAGCGTAATGGCATTCTCCAGTCAACTGGGATTTGTAAATTGAATGCAACCAAAAGGCAGAAAATTCATAAACACACATAATACAAAGGCACACATATGTATATAATATCAAAAGTCAGCCCTCTGGGCATTGGTGACCCAGACGAGTATACTCACTCTTTCCCAACCAAGTGTCCTCCCGTTTCACTTTCGGTCCGAGATGTACAGCATTCAAAGCGGCCAAAACTTGTGTGCTGTTTTGCATATCGGCAATATTATGATGCAAACTACTCTCCGCTGCCATAGACTCGAGACCCGAATGGCCACCGCCATGATGTTGCATAGGCGCAGCGGCTAATTGTAACGCGGCTGGATACATTTCGCCGCCAGAAGCCATTTCCGGATGCATGCCGTAGTCCATGCTGTATGGCATCATATAGGGCGTGTGCTCGGGGAATTGGTACATCATTCTGTATTGGATTATATACATATGTACATGTTTGCGTGTATGAGTAAAGGAATTTTATTAAATCCATTTAAATTGTTTTAAGAATCTTTAAAATATTTAAGAGCATATAGCGGTCAAGGTGTTTTTAGTAACGCTTTACTTACTTTTCCGAGGCATTATCCATCAACTTTTTCACAATAACCATTGCTGCCACTATAAATGCCAACTTGGAGACTGCTAACGCTTTGAGAGTCAACAAACCGACCGCCTTCGCTGCTACCATAGTCCAACCGAACGTGGTTGCCGCCAAATACATTGGTATATACATTTGGAATTGCTTTTTATCTTGTTTCTGCTTGCGGAAGCGCCCACGATTACCACCACCGCCACCACCATTACCGCCGCCACCTAAGAGTCCACCACCGCCGCTACCACCACCAATACCTGAGCCACCACCTAAGCCACCACCTAGGCTGCTCAGTAAACTATCACCACCTCCACCACCGCCGCCAAGACCGCCACCGCCACCTAAGCCGCCGCCGCCTCCTAGACCACCGCCTCGACCTGTGAAATAAGAAATTAATATTATTCTTATCATTACTTTGTAATTAATTGAAGACGGATCACTGTTCATCACGGCAATACGAGTTCTCTCAAAACATCGAACTGATGAGTTCTCCACCGTATAGTCATGACTAGACATTACTGTATGTTTTGGATATACCTCAATCACCGTGACAAAAGTGCTTCGGCTAATGGTCCAAATGCTTGGTCCATATCATCGTTCTAATAGGATTTTTTATTAGGCTGTTATGATATTTGTTTTATTGCAAATTGTAAACTATGATGTTAAAATGTGTGAAAAAAAGATTTTCACATATTATTAAGTAAAACCGTCACAGGGTAACTTCCCGAAAGAAAACGTGTTCACCCTGCCATTTAAGGCAAATAGTAAGAAATTTTCGAATAGATCGGTCCTAGGCCTCTCCAAGTTTCAGGTCTCTACGATCAGTAGTTTGGCTGTGGGAGAGAATTCGTCAATTATTCCGGGCAACGCCTTTTATATGTTTTAATAAATATATAATAAGATTGTAGGAAATACTTTTGTAAAATTCCTTTCAATCAATATCAATACATTCCCGACTTGTCCAGATTTCTTATGGCTGCGATCGAACCAACGGATCCTGACTTAACAGGCGAGTACCCTACCACTGCGCCAACATCAGCCATATAATCTGTTGTTGTATTATTCAACAGCTGTCACTTCTATCATTTTTCTTTGTTGTATAACAAAAAAATATTCTATTCATGCAAACAAACCAGGACCAGGGCACTCCTACTGTGCCTCTAGTGTGAAGAATATTGCTGTTCTTTTCACGAACTTTAGTAGTCGTTCTGGCCACTTGGTCATTGATGACTGGAGATCTTGCCGCCTTTCTGCGCTAAATATACATAGCCCTTGTCTTACGAAAGCCGGACATTCACAGATTGCATGCTCCACTATCTCTACAAAATTCTTGCATTACCTACACTTGATATCGGCAATCAGAACTACCTGAAAGCAACGGCCCGTTAATAGTCCTATCTGTAGGCTGGATTTTATAGCTCTTAGCTTGGAGGTTCGGTGCTAAGTCCTTTTAAATGAACACCCTCTTTAGCAAGTTCGTATTCTAGTATTTAAATTAATTCCTCTTGACTATCCACGTAAATTTTTATTTTTTTCGTTTGAAAGCTGGCATATTACAATAGCTCCACCTAAATTTTTTTTAGCAAAAAACTGCGGCTTGGAAGATGGCTTGGTGGCTTATAAGACTTCTTTATCTCTAGTTGGGCGTAGTAAACTGAGACCCCTACTCTTTCGCTTGTTTTAGAACCATCTGTGAGACCTTGAAGAGCTTTGCCTGCATATTTCAGACCTTTGTTCCAGCCATTCGCCTCTATTGTAGCTGAAAACTGCTTCCTGATATTAAAGGCGCGGGAGAACGTAGTCTATGCGTACACTCAGACTTTCAGCTGCCTTGAAGTATGCAGCCTTGTTTTTAACTACCAGATTTGCTGGAGGAATTCTAAAAGTCGCATGTAGCGAAATTAGCAATATATACAGACACTTTTTGTCTTTTTACATATTACGCTACTCTCAGGATGGTGTATGAAGACAAATAATCAGGAATTATTTTCAGATATGAATTTATGGAAAATTTCGGTTGCATAAAAAATAAAATTGCGTTAATTTTTATCATTCTGCTTATCGCTGATTAAAGCTTTAATTGCTAGAATTCTTAAGATCAAAAATTAGTCATTAATAATTACTTAAAGATTAAACTTTTAATTTATGTAAAAGTATTTTTCATAAATAAGATGAAAACAAAAACAAAAAATTAAACGAAAATGTTTTAAAATAAAAAGAATTTATTTAAATAATTTTAATATGTAATTCAAATTTTAATTTAATCAACGGAATTTTTACTACTCGTTTCGATTGATTTTAAATTTAACTCTTTTTGATTATAATGACTAATTAAATTTAAATTAAATTTGAAAGAATATTGTAGAAGGGAATTAGCCGCATAATAATAATGCATTTCATTGATTAAATTTTCATTAAATTTTTTAGCTTAAGCTTGTGTATAAATAACTATTTTTTATTTAAATTTAATTTATAAAATTCATTGATAATGCAACTTTACTCTACTAACTTGTAACCAAGTGATCCATCGCTTATAATTCCTAACATTTTATCTGCGTAAAATTTTAATTGAATTATTGAAACCACCACAAATAAATATATTCACAAACATAATATTATTTCAAGTATCAAGCAAGTAAATGTAACTTTAATATTAAATAAAATGGTCAGTTCGTTTCTTGAAAGAAATAAGTTATACACAAACTTAATTATTTAAAGGTGCTTTTTTCTTCTAGTTTTTACTTTAACATTTTTATTACAAAGCATTAAATTAATTGCATATTTTAGATTTTATTTAATAATAAGCCCTGTTACTATGATACTCCATCAAAATATTTCAATATAAGCAAATGTGGACTTACCCCACATTCATGTATTTACAACAACTCATATTTATACTGCTGGTAGTTCATACTCAGATGCAAATTAAATTTGACAAGGCAGGCTTACTAACGCATCAGCACATCCTTATATATTATAATACGGTGAATATTGTATGACAACCATTAACATAAAACTAACTATACATGTTTATATGCAAACATATGAGCAGCTCAAACTTTATGTTCGCGAGAATGTGTCTACAGGGCGTATAAGCAACGACTTTCATCGAACTACAATGAACTTAATATGCTGTGTTGAGGCGATAGCGGAATGAAGGGTATTTCATCAAGCGCACTGACTGTTTAAGAGCTCAACGGGGAAGCATAAAATGTTTTACTTTCCTTCACTAATGTGTAATCAAATAAAAAGCTCAAACTAAAAAAATCAGTTCCAAAATTTTTAACTTACACTTTTTCAATGAAATTCGCGACTTTGAAGGCGAGAAGCTCTAAAGTTATTTGTAATTTTATGTATGATGAATGATCATATAAACTTCGTTTTAGTTGAAAATGTGCCTCTAATAAAGCACCCTATGTGGTATAGCTAGCTACCCATCAAAAGTGTGACGTGTGTCACTCGTTGGTAAGTATGATGCGCATGTTTGCAAGGCATTATTCACTGGCATTAAGTTTCATATTGGCCCATAAATTTCCAATTCAACTTTACATACATACATACGCCTCGGCACAAGCCCTTATTATAGTTGTATTATATTTATATAGATACTATATGTACGTAGTGTCACGAAGAATTTTGTTTATATATACACACTTACATATTTGAGTATGCGATATATATCCTGGTTACGTATCGTATGTATGTAGCCAAGCCGAGCAATTGCTACTCAATTGTAAGTGCAAAAAGACATACAACGCTTACACTGAAAATGTTTGCGCCAAGGAAACGCTTCTTCTTCTCTGATTACAATCTTATTGATACATTACGAAATTGGGTCAGAAGCTTTACAATTGATATGAAATGAAATATTATAAATATTAAATTTCAATATCACAATACGAAAATAGTAACCGAATGACGTAAAGTCGATTTTTTTTAATAAAATACAAAATGATTTTGAATCAAAAATTATATATATAAATTACCAAATGAACAACAACCAAAAACCAAAATTATACGACATTGATTTTTAAATTTTCTTCGCCTTTCTGCAGAGAATGTCATGTGCTCATAAAAATCTATGGCCAACCACAAGCGGCTTAGTATAAACTGTAGATCGCTCCATTTTGTTGGAAAAATATATCTATCTATTGGAAATAAATACATATCAAATTTGTATACATTTTGACTTTCTTTTTACAGTAAACTTATTTTCACTTGACATAAAAACATCAAATTTTTGAAGGCTTTCCGGAAACGTATCTTAGCTATGCCTGCCGTGGATTTTAATTATGATAGTTAAAATGCAATTATGAAATTCAATTACTTTTGCTAACGCCAGAGTATGAAAGTATTATTGAAGAGGTCAGTTAAAGTAAATCTGCAACAACTTATATTATTGAAAATTAAGTAAACAAACAAGACAAACTGATTTAAGAATTTGATTCTGTTTCTGTTAAACTGAAAAATAAAAGCAAGTATTCTTCATCAAAATTTTGAATTTGCTTTGTGAAATTTATTTTCAGTTTTTCCACAATTAGAATATAGATATAGAAACAAATACTAAAATTACAGGTTTTGTACGAGTGTTTTCGAATTCATTTGAGTAGTGAGAAATTACGCTCTTCTTCTTTACTCCGAGCCGGATCAGTGTATGCTTTTCGAGTATTTGAAATAATTCTGCTTTTATTTGGAGTTTAATTCTTTTATGCACGCTTTGTTAATATTTCCTATTGAAATATTAGGCTCTAAAAAAAATTTAGTTAATGATTTTTATCCAGAACTCTAGCCAGTTAATACTTTAGAGATATATTCTAAAATCTATGCCTAACAATTTAAAAGAGATATATTCTAGATAGAGAGATACACAACTAACACGATTGATTATTCCTTTGCGATATAAGGAGAATATTTCTTTAAAAATGATTAATAATTATTTACCATTTTCTTTATTTTTTTTTATTTAACTCAGTTTTCTGTATACTATTGAATTAGACGAATCTTTAACAAAAAGTACGCTTTTGTGAAATTTTTTTATCTTTGTATAGATATCGGTTCATTTTTATATTTCAACCTTGTGTTAATCAAATTTGGATATTATTTCATTACTGTTTTATTGAAAGTATACCTTTTTGAAAGTTCACGAACCGATACCATAACTTGTACGAGGTATTCAAAAAACATAAGGTTTCAAAATTATGTCAGCGCCTTAACTTGCTTTTAATGAAAATTTTGAACGTAATAATGTTTGTTTTTGATGAATTTTGTCTATATTTTTTCCCCCTATAAGCTACTATTAACTTTGATATATCCGACATATAGCTCAATTATCTCACAAAGTAGGGAACCCCAAAATGGATCATCCTTTATATATTGCTCATATAGTAATTCCCCGCTATTGGTTGACGTCGTTGTCGTCTTTCAGTCGACAAGACATCGTATCTGTGTCGAGTGGTTAGCATTACGTACTGCTATACTGAAAGCCAGGGTTCGAGTTCTGGTTCAACCAACATTCGAAATGTGTTTCGACTTTTTTAGACAAAAAATAGCACTTTTAAATAAAACAAAAATGGATAGAGAATTTTATTCTTACTAAATGTTACTTAACATTAAAAATACGACAGAAAATCATTTATGCGTTTGTGACTGTTATCGTGTATATGCCTTTCCTACCTTGATCCACGAACTTTTTAGTCGAGATCAGAAACTGAGTGTGCTTTTCTAGAGCTGCCTGACTCTTTGAATGTGCCAATCTATAAGTTTTAAAGGCATTTCACGTTATTTTTTTTATAACTTATTTATTCTTGAGATTGCTGCAAACTAATTATACGGCATATAGCTCAATTGGCTCACTAAGAGCTGAGCGTGTTTTTTTTATTCGAAAAAGGCAAAGACACTTGAACCATCAAAGTATCTTCTTGGTACTTCGCATCTCATACAAAACTTTGCCATCTGATTATCATATGTGATTTACACATGAACTCCCACAGGAAAGCTCTGAGTGGATACATTTTTCGTTCCGAAGATATCAAAGATTCAAACCGTTAAGCTAAGTCAGCTGATCGTTTTAGGAAATCTTATAATCTTAATATATTTTTTAAGATTTTTGCAAATTCGTTAGACTAAAAATCGTTAAAAATAGTTTGGGAAGAAATCGTAGGGTATGTCAAATATTTTGAACATGTATATATGTATGCATGCCCGTATATATAATATATATGTAAACGGTGTTTTTAGCTAATATATTTTTGGCAACACTGGTTTAAACAGCTATCACACGTTTCGTGTATTGTATCACTGTCAAATATCCCAGTTTGATCTTTAATATAACCATGAATCGTCTTATAAACGAACAAAGTTTGCAAATCATTGAATTTTAATATCAAAATGTGTGCTCTTAATGGGTGCGTGAATAAGCGGACTTTGTAGTGAAGATCAGCCAGAAGCATTGCAAGATCTACCAATGCCTCCAGAAAAGGTCACATTTTGGTGCGGTTTATGGGGTGGTGGCATTATTGGACCGTAATTCTTCAAAGATGATGCGAATCGTAACATAACTGAGAATGGTGAGCGCTACCGTGAGGTGATAAAAAACTTTTTTTGCCCAAATTCAAAAGCTTGACTTCCATGACATGTGGTTTCAAAAAGACCGTGCCACATACCACACAGTAGGCGTAACTATGGACATACTGAGAAGTGCGTTTTATTACACATTAGGGAGCGGTCAATAGGCCGCCTGGATCATGCAAATTTAACGCCTTTAGACTATTTTTTATGGGGCTATGGTAAATCTAATGTACATTGGAGGACAACATTGAAGCATTTATTCGTGAGATACGGGCCGAAATGTTAGAAAGAGTATGACAAAATTGGATGGATTATTTGGGGCGCAGTCACTGTCAACATTTGCATGAAATAATCATCAAACATTGAATTATATGGACCGATTGGACTATCGATTTAAATAAAGATTTCATGCATTTCTCTGAATTTTATGTGCTTTTTTTTGTAAACTTTCCTATAGCTCTCAAAATATCACCCTTATATATATGTATATATACATAATATAATTTATGTTTTGCATTCAAAGTCAGCCGTACTATTAATGTGACATTGGGAACATTTCGGTATAAATATCCAACAGATCAAATATATTATTTGGATTTTTTTTTTTTTTTTTCATTTTTTAGATTTATTTTATATATTTTTGCTTTTTTTAATTGTTGCACCCAGCTGAAAATGAAAATAAATGCTTGTCTTTCATTATAACAGCGTTCGTTTTCACTTCTAACACTTTCTTTTTCAAATTTTAAACTTTAGCTTCCATCAGCCGCATTGTTCCATCTGATTACTTTATTTACACTGAACAATACCGAGACATGCAAAATATCCCTCATTACACTACCTTGACTTCCGCTCGCCTTCTTAAGCAGCGCAATTTCAATGTAATTCCCATCATCCTCGGCACGTTGCACGCTAAACACCATCGGACCCACTGGTATACGTATGGCGTTGCCACTGATAAAATCAACAAAACTAGAAATGCCACGCCCCGTTTCGGCGTTATTCAATTTTTCTGCATCCTTAGCGCTGAGTGGTGGCAACTTAGCCAAATCCATGAAGCCCAGACTAATGGTCTCTCCGCGCTTGTACGCTTGCAGTATATCAGTGGCCAGCGTATGTAGGCAGCTGGCGTTATTGGCACACTGCCATGACATTTTCTCTGAAAAATCTCTTCTGTTGCTGACATTTGGCTTTTGACGGTTGTACAGTTGCTTTTTCACGGTTGGCTCATTAGGCACAGCTGTGTCCGCGGCAGTTTCAGAGGAATCTTCTGCCTCACCATCCCCGATGGCATTGCTATTGCTGCTGGCTACCGATGATGTACGTGAGTGTATCGCTGGTTGAACGGCAGAGATTTGTAGGCAGAACAACACAAGCCATGAGCAGAATGCGAATAATGTGAGCGCGGAACGTTGATTATGCCAATTGGACATTGTTGCCAATGTTGCAATTGCGCTTGTTGACGAGCAAGTAAAAAGGGCTTAGCTCTACGGCTGGTGGTGGTGTGTTTTCTTTGCTTATTTTTTCGTTTTTTTTTTTTTTTTGCACTTGCATTTATTGTTACGCTGCCACTAATGCAACGCGAATGTCCTTGACATTAGACGGCGTTGCCACATTGGCTGTCAAACGCTTTGAATTATCGATTGCACACCACACTTTTTCGATTTAATTCTGTAAATTTTAATATGAAACTGTAATATATTTTTATGGTCGGCGGTAGAACTCGAGCGCGCACGTCTTTTGTTGCACAATGCGTTGTAAGTGATAGACTAAACACTCGGTGGTGCATGCAACTCAGTTTTATTGTCTTTGGTCGCAATCAAGGCCGCTCAGATTTATCTGCCGATATGCTTATGCACGCATACGTGTGCATTTGTATATTAATTAGACAATAATTTTGTTACCATTTTCATTTTATTACAGTCTTCGCGTATATTAACGGTGTCTTTTTTTCACTTATAATTTCTTTACTTTTAATATTAATTTACACCGCCTTGGCATTTGAGGCACTTTTATTGTTACAATTGTTAATGCTATTGTTGCTATTGTTGCTGTTGCTGTTGCAATCATATCATCTAACACGTCTGCAATTTGCAAGTATCAAATTCAAATGTGGCATGCAACATTATAGATACATACACATGTATGTATGTATGTGTATGTGTAGTAAATTGCATTCACAATCTTGAGCATTCATCATATTAACGCCAACTACAAAAGCAAAAAAAAGTAAGGTGAGCCACGTTCGGGCAGCACAAACCGTTGTCTCTTGGGGTTATCTTCGAAGCGAAAGCTATAACATCGAGAGCACTGACTTTAGAAACTGAATACCCTCACATGAAAAAGTCCAACGGTGTGATATAACGCGATCTTGGCGGCCCATCAACCAGCCAAAAACGCGAAATTATCTGTTCACCGAAGTGTTCTCTCAACAAATCCATTGATTGATGCAAAGTGTGTGAAGTGCGCTGTCTTGCTTAAACCAAATGTCGCCGATATCACGAGCTTCAATTTCAGGCATCAAATAGTCCGTTTTTATCGAATCATTTTTGATGAATTATAGACCGATGTTTCCACCGGCCGACAAACCACTTTAAATCGTTGTTTTTGCTGGATGAAATGGCAGCTCTTTTATCTCTTCAGGTTTCTCTTTTTCCCAAATGCGACAATTTTACCTTATTCACATACCAGTTCAGCCTGAAATGGGCCTCATCGCTGAACAAAATTTGGCTCGAGAGTCCGAGTTGCTGCGAACGGCGTCGAATTGACTCTCTCTTTACCATATTCGCCGTTCTTCGATACAGTATTATCCAATAATGAATGTTGGGTCTCAAGATGGGTGATGGTGTTGCGAATAGCATGGTCAGTAGGCCGAAGTTGAGCGAAGCATTCTTTGCTGAACGTGAATTTTCGTAATAAGTTGAACGATTTGAAATCGTTGTTCAAGGGTAAGTCTCTCCGTGACAAAATGCCATACAATACGGAAAAAAAAAACAATATAACAGATTGACACGACTCGCGTGTAACCTGTCAAAAAAAAGGATATTAAAAAAGCACCTCTTGACTCATCTCGTACTATCCCGTACCGCGGTGTTCGAACCTTTCACCAGGAACTGTGGGTTCTTAAAAATCGATTTGGGCCAAAATCCGACTCGATGGATGCACGTTAAAACAATAGTGATTCGAGGTCGAGAAAGTGCTAAGCAGCAAAAAGCGAAGCAGTTATCTACCCGATTTGCTCTTATGCTCTTTGAAAATACTCCTCAATAACTAGGAAGATGGTAACGAGGAAAATTCTGAAACAAATGAAATTTTAAATTGGTTTCAAGAACAGAGCTACTTCCAGTTAGAACGACAAAAATGGTCTGATAACTGAAGGAAAGAATTTTATGATTTTATAATGGGGAGACTTTTTACCCGGCTCTCTTGAAATAATAAAGAAAACAGTCGATAGCGGCTGTGGGGAAGTTCTCATTGTCGGACGTTTGCTTGGCGAATAGAAGAGCAGTCTTTTTCAATTAAATTTTTTTATAAATAACAATGCAAACAATAATCATCCCTTGAACAAAAACAATATACCATTCACGAGAGTTAATGCAATAAAATATGAAAACAACAACAATTTGTAACTTAATATCAACAAATTGCACACCACTCCCACCTCACCTCGCACACTAACCACAGCTTCACTGCCGCGGAAAGCCTCACTTTCAGCCGGCCACACAACAGTCTCTCCATTTAGCGCTTCGATCGCCCGACGCAGTTACCGACGTCCAATTACTTGTTGCAGCTTATTGTGCGATGAAAAAGTGTTGCATGTTGTGCATTTGCAAGTCTGCAGTGGTGCATGCGAGCACAAATGTTGTGCAGCTTTGGTGCATAACTCTCTGTGCCGCCCATTTTCTCCATATTCTGCAACATTTCTACAAATGCAGGGTGATGAAGAGTCGAGCAGACTCATGCCTGCAGCCGAATTGCTGTACATTACGTGAAAAGTGTATGCGATCAGCAGAAGTAGAACTGTGGTAATCGTGCACACGCCAGAGATTTAGAAAAATATTTGGTGGCAAGTGGCAAGTGTGGCACAATGTGTGTCATCGGAACTTGTTTAAAAGAAAGTTTTGATGTGACACAACTAAAGAACTATATTAAACTTGTTTTAGAATGCTTCATCAAACCCGTTTAATTTTCTGTAGAGTAAGAAGCAGTTTTAGAAAGAATACACGAAGAGACGAGACTTGAAATATATTAACAGAAACAAATTTTTTACTTTATTTTATTTTATTTTATTTCCTTTTTTAATATATTTTATTTTATTTTGATTTATTTTATTTTATTTTATTTTATTTTATTTTATTTTATTTTATTTTATTTTATTTTATTTTATTTTATTTTATTTTATTTCTATTTTATCTTGTTTTGTGTGTTAAATTTCATTTGAGATTTTGTTTTAGCTTGGTGAGATGATTGACCTACAGCACAAACCACAAAAATGGTTGAGTCTTATATCAGCGTATGTATGTTTTCTCGGGAGCAGCAAAAATCGACAATAATTTAATATCAAACCACTTCAGATTTTGAATAATGCTCATTAAGGTGCGGCCGTGTGGCGTGTCAAATGGTAAAGAATGTAATAAATAAAAAAATTCGTATTTCAAACTTTTCTTTAATCTGGGGTTAGACATCAATTAATATTATTTTAGGCATTATGATTGGGGTAAACATTTTTTCTAATAATTTCTTACTTAGTACTTAATTATTCTTCATTTCTCTTGTATAAATGTTTAGTTATTTAAATAAAATTAATATTTTGCGATAATTACATTCTCAGTGTTATCAATATTTCGATTTAATAATAATTGATGAAATACCATTTATACATACATATGCACATATATGCCAACAAAATCATTTCAAATAAATTCATAAATGCGTACATGCTTCAAACACATTTATAACATTATCGCATTCAAAGTGCAATTTTATGTTTACTTATTTTTCTTTTCACTAATTATGTATGTTAACATTTTCATTTTCACGCGAAATAATATTAATTTAATAAGTTTTTATATAAAACTTTAATGCTTGCCGATTTTCTACGCCATCACACTGTAATTACATATATTTTGCACGATACTCGTAGATAAAGTGAAATTTTTCAAATGTTTGTTTTTCAATTATTGTTACGGTATATTGCTTTTGTTGTGGCTGGCTCGCTGAGTTATCGTGTTATCGTGGAATTAGATTTAAAATATAATACATATATATAATATATATACTTTTTTCCATGTATTAATGCCTTCAGCAAAAAGTGTGTGGATAATTTTTTTTAAATAAATCAACACGTTTAAATAAAGAAATATTAGAAAAAACAATGTTGAGTTTAATACACTCACCGCCAGCAAGTATAATTGGAAAATTTTAATTAAATGCTTTTATTATGTATTATATACTATAATAGCTTCAATTACTTTAATATCAAAGGTTATATTTAAATAAGACTCAGCGGACAAGTTTTTTAGATTAGAAATAAATAAATAATTTTTTTGATTTGAGTTTTTAGTATTAATCCCTCAATGGAGTTAGACAACTTTTTTGTATGCCTAGTAATTAAAAAGTCAAAAGCTTGAACATTAAATAGTTAGTTAATTTTGATCCCAAGTATTTATTTGAGTGCAGAAGGAGAAGAGATACACTTATCAAAATTTATACCGAACGATCAGAACGATGAGCTCAGTCAATTTAGAACTATCACATTACATTGATCAATTGTCGGCGCCGATCCGAGCCGACCACTGTAGCATTTGACTCCATTATGATTTGATAAGACATGAGGTTTTAGGTCAAAAATCCATCAAAAAGCATTTAAGATTATGAAATAAAATTTAAATAAATATTTAAATTGAAAATCACCGAAATCTAGTTATGCATTTTGCAATAGATTTTATATGTTCATGATATAAAAACTTCTAAATAAAATTTTCGCGTTTACATTTGAATAGCCCAACCGGCAAGCTATCGAATACAGTCGCTTTGTCAATCATCTATTGGGCGTCATAACCGGGTGACCGAATGGTACGGTACGCAACTCAGTATGCTTCTATTCACCTCTTAGTTATCTGCAGTAATGTGCTCTAGTCATAAACCTGCAACGATCAGCTCTTCCAGCTCTTTATACATACATATTTGGTCTCTTTCTTTTTCTTACTGCAAATGTGTCTTGCTTTCCCCTTCAGTTCACGGTACTTATGCCACGCGACACGTTTTGGCGCTGATCGCAGAAGATTGCGTAGTAAGGGGTCTCCTCATGGTACCAACTTTTCTTCCGAAATTTCTCAAAATCGATTGTCTCCGAGTTGCTTATCACTACTCTCAGAAAATAGATGTACAGTCGAATACATCTGTGGCTGTCTGCTGGAATTGCAAGTTTTCG